GGGACCCCTTTTAAAATGGGGATGGCTTTCCTGATTTCTTTAAGACTGTGCAAGTAACTGTTTTTAAAACCTTTTTAATCCTGATGCATTATGTAATTATTTATGACAGTATTTTCAACAGAGTGACACGTTAGTGTATCATCCTACATTCCCTTTTAAGCAGGTGTAGTTACCATGTAGCTAGCATATGGATGTCTGAGTGTCTGACTGAAAGTCGTGAGAAAGAGTTTTGGTCTCCTCTGACTTGAAGATGTGCCATATAAATTTAGGCCATTCACCATTAAGTCAAGTCATAGTTTTCTCTTGGCAAATCTGCAGGATGGCTTTCTCTATTTCAACACAAAAATAGTTATAGATTTGTTTTGACTGTCTTGACTGAGGACTTTCCTTCTTATTCCCAATGATGTTTTTACCACCAATGTGTTAAATATTGGTGGTGTTAATAACATAGATACATTTGTAGTTGATGCACACCACTGTTATTGAATCACCTTAAAACAAAATGGGTCAAATTTTATATTTAGAGTTTAATCAGTTCTACCACTTGTTGAATGAAGGCAAATTATGTAGCAACATATTCTGCCGTGTTGGGCTGCCGTGTTGCCCTCACTGTTTATGTATGGCTAGCTCTCTAACTTCCTCTTTTCCTCGACACACTAACCAGCTACTTTATTAGGAACGCAAATGGTAGATGTGTTTTTTTTATTAGGCCTGGTTGTTGGCAGGTTGGCGAAGTTGAATCAGAACATCAGAATGGATACTTTAGGTACTTTGAATGTGACGTGGATGGCTGTAAGGACCAGACAGACTGGTCAAAGTATTTTAGAAATGGTTAATCTATAAAAATATCTCTCTGATGTACGTCAAACAGCCTGAAAAGGAGAGATTATTCATTGTGTTGCCATGGTTGAATAAATTCCTCTGTTTGTCAGAGAATGTAGTTTGGGTTTATATTAGAGATGCACTTAAATGCAGAAGCCGAAAGCAAAAAAATAAGCAAACCAATGCCGGAAAAAGGAACCCTGAAAGACATTAAGTCAAATATTAGAACCATATGGCTGCACAGTGACGCAGTGGGTAGCACTGCTGCCTTGCAGCAAGAAGGTTCAGGGTAGGATTCCCGGCCCAGGGTCTTTCTGCATGGAGTTTGCTTGTTCTCCTTAGGCATGCGTGGGTTCTCTCCGGGTACTCCGGCTTCCTCCCTCAGTCCAAAATCATGACTGTTAATTGGCTTCTCTAAATTGTCCTTAACTGGGAGTGTGTTGTTTGTCTCTATTTTGCCCTGCAATAGACGGGCAACCTGTCCAGTGTGTTCCCCACATCTCGCCAATAGAGAGCTGGAAATGGGCAGAAAATTTTGGGTGGCTAAAATTTTAGTGCATCCCTAGTTTATATCATTGACTATTCTGCAGGGACCATCATGCAATTATCAACCAAAATCCTTGAGAACTGTTTCCGATACCTTGTTGAATGAAATGCAATGAAAGCTGCTTGGAAGGTGAAGCTGGCTCAATGATAGTACTTTTATTGTGTGCCAAAAAAAGGAGCCAGATTTTTATTATTTTTTTTCCCCACTAGTCAAGCTGGTTATTTCTAGGCAATGTTTGCAGAGTCATTTTGCATTAGTTTCTAAACGGTTCAATTCTGTTTTAGAGAAATAAATGTTTATTTTTTCATTAAAGTACTTTTTTACCTGCTACTTAGTTTTCTGTGAAAACCTTACTTTGCAATAACATTGCTGTAGGACCTAGATATAGTAGTTGTATCAGTCAAACTGATGCTTGTATTAGCATGTTTTTAGGGATTGGGCCAGCAGCATCTCAGACCTGTTGCAGGAAAGAACAGAAATGGCTTCCTTTGATAACTGTCTACCCACTTAGATTGCCACAGTAGAGAGCTTAGGGAGGTCTGTGACAGATATGACATAAACTGACAATGAAGAAAGGGTGAAAGCATCTTAAACTGAAGGCTCCATTTGAAGCAGAAGATCAAACACACTGATGCATTCATCAGTAAGAGGCATGAAAAGCTTCAAAGGATGTCTTGCTAGTGTTGAAGAGCCAGCTCCTGTAAAAGCACCAATAACTGGGTCCAATAAAGCCAACATCTGTTACTTGGTTTTATGCCTGCAGTCATTTTAAAGGGACAGAGCAGTAGGATATAATCAGCGATGATGAATGCTCACTGAGAATTTAGGCACTGTCATTTCACCCTTATGGAGTACAAAGTGCTCTTTTCACTCCTTTAATCTTTTCACTACATCTGATCAGTGAGGCAGTGTAGCAGATACATTATTTTAACTCATATCTGTAGTTAGACTTCTCTACTCCTTTGCATATTTCCAATTAAAACTCAAACAATTCTTGAATATATTAAAATTGTCTATTTTTATTGTGTTTTTGGCTAATTTTTCTGTTTGAGCTCCATCAAGACAGTCTTTCTTAAAGTGGCAGGCCTTCATCTTCTAATTAAACGGTAACCTGCTCTAGCCTGTTTGGGCTGTTAAAGTCGACCAGAATTCGTTCCCGAATTCACATAGTTTCTTCTTTTCTTAACTGTTATTGATGTAGTTGATGCAGTTTTTTGTCTTTGTTGAATGCTAACTGCTTTTCAAACAAAGCAAAAATGGGGAAATGTGCTGTCTAAGATCAAATATTAACGGTATAGAGAAAAGTGGGGTTATTGGTTACTGTGCAGCTAGCTTGTCAGCAAAGACGGCCCATGTGAAGATCATGCCCATTCTGTTGCTGGCTGAGTGTGGGAGCTTCAATCGGCGGTCTGGACCCAGTCGCTGTCCCTAAGGTTAGCCCTGTTGAACATTCTGGGCTCAGGTCCCAGAGAATAGTGGCATGTCAGCAGCCCACTGAAATGAACAGGCTGAGGGTAGCACTATGTTAGCAGGCTTACCATTTTTGGGGGTGGGGGCTGTTGGGCTTGGATTGCTAAAAGCTGCACAGTTTTAAAGTTGTATAAATTTACTGTTTCTCTTAATGTGCACCTTTCAATCTGGAAATGAATCATTCTCTTGCTGTACAGTTGTTTAACTTGTTCAATTCTTTTGTCCTGTTATATTTAGTTATTCCCAAATATGGATATAACTGTGTCTGGGTCTATTTATTTATTTTTATTACATCATTTAATTAATCTATGACATGTCTACATGTATTCAATAACATCTTTTAGGTTTCAAAAGTTTTAGTTAAGTTTTAATTAAAGCATTAAAAAAGAACATCACACAAATGACTAATGGGTTGAAAACCAATGAAAGGGTTAAAAAAACGTACAGTAAGTTGTGTGTTTTAATCAGTCAGGGTGACAACTGAAAACGTTAAGCTTTTACGATGAAGTTAAGAAATGGTAATGGTAACTGAACAGGATATTGCAGCATCTAGAGAAACCAAAATAACTGGTGAAAGGCAAAAGATTTGTGGGTCATTCTAAAGGATTAACAAATATTGTTTTTCTTATTTTGGCACCCTTTTAAAAGTATGTTTAAAATAATAAAAACACGCATTAAAATATTTAGCAGATTTGTTTCTAAAAGCCTTTTCATATTCACTCCTGAGAATCTGCAACCCAGTCCCAAGAAACCGGAAAAGCATGTTGCCATTCATATAGCAACATGCTCTACTTTATTCTCATGCTTGTAGGCCAAACAATTAAACTCAAATTCTGATCCACTGCACACCAGTGTTTACATATTATTAAGATGAATAAAAAGAAAAGAGAGAGATGTTATACAGTTTGTTTAGGTTTATTGAAAAACTTAAAAAGCAAAAATTTAAACGTGGTCTTTAAGGCATTATGTCCATGTTTGCACACAGCAGAGCAATAAAAACATAAATTCTTAAAATAAAAGAAAAATGTCTACATCATGTTTCTTATCCTGCTAATCATTTCACCCTGTTGACTACAAATTATATAGTAATGACCTGTATCAAAGAAATACTCATAAACACTCAAACTTTAATTCACCTAAATTCAGTTTCATTATATAGTGCCAATTCACAACACTTGCTATCTCAATGCACTTTACAGAGACAAATCAAATCATTCAGTCAGATTGGTTAAAGTTTTTTTTTTTTTTCCTAATCAAAGCAGGCTGATTGCATCGAGTCATTGACAGTGCAGGACATAATCTACCTGGCTGAGTACATGATGACAGATGTTCCTGGCATTTGGGATTTTGTGTATGACTCTACAGCCATCCCTCTTACCAAGCATACATGCATGCAGCAAAGGTGGGCCAGGGAAAAATAAACTCCCTTTTTAACTGGAAAAACTTCCAGTAGAACCAGACTTGGGTTTCAGTGAGAGGGAAGCAAACATACTAAAGGAAAAGTAGAAGCACTGATTCAAAAATACTTTCTATTTTAGAAAAGGTAATTGTAAAGGTGCTCTATGGTCACTCTGTCTAGGATAGAAAGAGTTAAGCAGACAAACTGAGCCAGTTTTATTGCCAAAGGGATGAAAGCAAGCACCTACAGTTGGTCACAGTTAAAGCTGAGCCTATATGACTAGAAGATCAATAGGACTCAGCACTGAAAACGAGGTCATCACAAAGGACCTTAAACAAAGGTGTTGCTGGGAGCAGCCCAGCTGATTATCTCCGCGATGGAGTAAAAGCCAAACAAGACCAGACCTGATGAAGCTACTATAAGAAAAAAGGAGAACAAAAGTCATGGATTGAACTAACAAATACTGCAGAACTGGAGAAGAGAGTGAGAACTGGAATGAAGAAAAGTTGTCCCTCTGTCCTCCAGCAGCCTAAGCCTTTAGAAGTATAACTAAAGAGATGGCTCGCTACCAGCTGTATTAGAAAGGAAAGTGATGAGCCTAACCTTATTTCAAGTTATTTGAATGTGGTTGAGAGATAATTTAAGGAGCTGCTTTGTTATTTTTTTTTATCATTTCCAAATGTATAATCATTTGATTCAAGAATTTAAACATTTTGTTTTACATTTAAACGTTTCCTAATTTCTGTCTTTTTTTAATTGCAGGTCCTGTCATTACAGCCATTGATACGATTTAATGGAAACCAAGGGGTAAGTACATGTCTCTATCTCTGCATAGCCATTCATGAATGCTATGGTGAATTTTGACTTTTTCTCATTCACCTTGGATCCATTATAAATAGCAGGTTAACTTTTATTCATTCTAATGTTTTGCCTCCATGGTGAACATCTTCATTTTGAGGCTTAAAATTTCACTGCTGTAAAATCGTGTCCACCCACTCCCCCACAGACCAACAACAGCTAGCTGTTCTAAAGTTATTGCTCTAATCATTACCGTTGGCTCCTTTGGTTGTGTGTATTGCCTGCTTTTTAATCCTCTTCTCAGCCTTTTCCCATCCTTTCCTTTGCTTTAGGGGACTTTATGGTCAAGCTGTGTGGGTGGAGGGGCTTATAATACATGTATATAATATTGCAGTGCAATTAACATCAATCAGAAATATAGTTTAGATATTTCATCTGTAGTTTCGTTGCATATTGTCATGTATATGATCTTCCCAGCCACTGAACCAGGTAAGTCCAATCTGCACAGGTCAATTCACTCGGCAGATTGGACTCACCTGGTTCAGTGGCTGGGCAGAACAAACCCATACATAGAGATGGCTTGTTGGCTCCAGATCCCCCGTCTCTGTTCATTTGTCTTAAGAGTATGTTGCATGGAAATGCAATGTGTTTTAGTACTGAAAGAAATATGAAAAGCTTTGAATTCTTCACACAGAGAAGAACCATGAAGAAACCACATTAAACTGATTGAAAAGGACAAGTATATTCTAATTATTAACCCTGCAGCAAAGATTATGTTCACCAATGTTTGCTTGCTTTGCCTCTTCTGCATTGAAAGCAAGTCAGTGAAGAGACGAGGCTGCCTGACAGACGAGTGATAATGCATTTGATGCATAAAGATATAGGTTTATATGATAGCATATTAACACTTAATAAATTGCTGCAGAAACAAATAAGTGTTTTAAGAAGACCAACTAGATATTTAAGCACATATTTAAGGGAAATGTATTTAACAAAAAAAAAGAAGCAAATAGTTTGTGTAACTGTGCTCCGTTTTATGTACCTTGTCTTTTTATTTGCTTTCCCTTTCTGGGAAAGGTTCGGGTTGGTTTGACATGCATGAGGCTGGTAGAGTTGGTGTTTTCTTTTCTCTGTAAATACTGCCTAGCCATTGCATCCAAACTACTTTAATTGCAGGCTGATGGATTGTTGCTTGGATTTCTACAACTGCAGAAACTTCTAACATGTCCATGCACGATGGTGATGTATAAAAAGATGAATCCCACCCTGCTACATTTTTATATCTGGTATCAACTTCGTCTAATCCTCGCTTGGTCTTTCATTAGCAGAGCTCTGGTAACATTTTGAGATATAAATAAACAAAGATGGCCACCTACTGGGAATAATTGAAATATTTGTAATCCTTCTCCATGGGGATTTCTGGCTTTTTTTTTTTATATATCTCTATACTCATGTCTCTATATTGAAGCATGAATTGGGGAAGACAAAAACTACAAGACTGAGAAAAAAGGTCCATAGAATTGGTTCAGTATTTGGTTTTTAAACCACAACTAAAGGCATCCACTATTTGTTTTATCAATTTAAAAACGTAAAAAATATAAGATGCATACAGAGAAGAAAGGGTGTTTATTGTAAAGGGTGAACCTTTTTAAAGTTGTAGGGAAGTCATATTTAAGTGTCAAATAATTTTGGCTTAAACATGTATATAAATGTAATCTTTATCAGACTATATTGTCCAAAAATATAAATATAAAACTTTTTTTTTTCTTGGTTATTTAATGCAGGTCAGTTAATTATACATCATCTTGTACACCTAAATTGGGCCAATCATATATTAACAGGCATCTGTCAATAACATTTTTTTGGTCATAGTATCTTGATTCATATGTCGCAGCTAATATACGCAATGGTTGAAATAAGGAATAAGAATCATTATTTACACTACCGCTGGGTTACAGCCCAGTGTTCACGGGGATGGACGTCTGCATCTTCGGCAGGCATAGAGCTAACAGAACTGGCAGCGTTGCGAGGCAAGGGCTCAAACATGTACGGCTGTAAGCCTTCTACACCAAACAAAGCTTCTGCCGCCCTGGCGTCCTCTTCCGCAACAACTTCCTCCCTACTTTCCTCCTCTAAATAAAAAAACGTATGACGAAGGAGACTCATCCACGACCTCTGACAGAAAACTCTCCTCCTCTTGCATGTTTCCGCTGTCCATAGCGTTCCTTGACAGTTTCGTTTCTAAGTCACCAATTTGGTACTACTTGGTCCCAATGGAATTTCCCATTGGGAACCTACTAGCACTAAGTTGCTAACTGGTTAGCAAGATGCTTCCGAGACATGGGCCACAACGAAAAAAGCTTGCAAACCTTCCGTCACAACAATCCCACCCGCTTGATAATCGTCCAATCATATCCACTTTATTCACTTGTGTAAAGTCAGGCACCACTCTGAAGAATTCAGAAATGCAACCGTAAGGAACAGCTGCTTCCTTACGACTTTAAAATGACAAAAGAAAATAATTACCAGGATCCATCACCTGCGATCAGTTAGAGCCTCAAACACAAGTGACGTCTAGATCATTCCCTACAGAGATTCATCAAGCCTCAAGTGGTCCGTTTATTTTCAGCTGCAGTGCAACTTTAGGTCAGCAGGGCTTGTTATGCTATGTCATTACGTATGATCCGCCAGCTACTGACTTTTATCCATTTGTTTCTATTGTCTTGCTCATCTATACTATACGGTTTATAACCCTTGTTGTAATTCTTTACAGCCCTAGGTCTGAGCGCGGAAAATGCTCAGCCTGTAAATTTTGGCGCCTCATTGGTTTGCTATGGTGTATGTTTTTTTTTTTTTTTGTGCCACCTATCTAAGTGCACATCTACCAGTCTGAGCATGCAGTGAAACGGGGGTGCAGCGCTTACCCTCACACTCGTCCACTGGCGTGCGGTCAAATCTGACAAACTCAGGCTCTCCCAGTTGTGCTCTCGCTCCGCTCCTTTTCCGCAGGCGTACAGCATAACTACCTAGTTAAAGCTCTTCCAGCTCGGTGGCACAAAAAACATCTCCTGTTAAGCACTGTTAAACAGCTGTTAAAACAATTTTCACCAGTAGTGAAAATCCACCTTAAGTGAGAGGAAAATGTTTTGTGTTTTTTCAAAATAGAGAAAGCTATTTAGAATTTTTCGGTTCCCATCCTTTTCCCTTAGAGGTAGATTCAGGAAACTAGAAATTATAAAAGAGAAAAAACACGCTTGGCAATTTGTGCAATTTTTTGCTGAAAGCCCTAAAAAGAAAAGGCAGCAACGTATTTGGACAAAGACATGGCTGAGCAAATGTTGCTACTACGGTCTGTCAATTTTACAGAAAGAACTACATTTCAGCTGCACCCCCGCCATGCTTCTGTGTTTTCATCTTAGGGGAAGAAGAAGAGTCCTTGTTTGTGCACTGAGCAATTTGCTCACGATGGACGACTGAAAATAACACGTTTGATTTTCTCCCGACCTCACGATTCAAGATCGGGAGGTGGTCGTGAGATGCTGATCGCCCCTCGTTACCCCCTGTACACTACACGACGCACGATCAGGCTGAAAGTCGGGCCGGTAGGAAAATTCTTGCACGACTTCAAAGTGCCCGAAAAGATTGCACAGTGTAACCCTGGCTTTGAACACAGCAAAGCGTCTCAGAAAGAACAGTGTCTGTTGTTAATGAAATAGGATATGGAGAATATATATATATATATATATATATATATATATATATATATATATTTACACACACACACAATAAAGAAAAATGTTAAAGCTACAGTGTGTAATTTTCAGCGACATCTAACGTCCAGACTGCAGACCGCAGCAACATGAACATCTCCCCCCCACCGCTTCTCCCCCCCAACAGTACGGCGAGCGTTACGGGACAAAATGTCTTCCACGACGTCGGAATCACCTACCTTCTCAAGTGATGAGGTTTGTTTACATAGATAATTTTACAGATAGTATTTCATTAGTCTGTGTAGGGTATAGATTTCATGTAGACTTTAGATAATAAATATACCCGTTATTTTTTCTACGTCGTTGTGACGTTTTGGTGAGCTGCTTTGCATGGTGATATAAACAGACGAAGGAATTGTAGTCATTAGTTTAACAGCGAGATTGTGTTCGCTAGAAGAATATATATTCCCTGTTTACAGAGTCCAAGTCTTGTTTGTGGCACGGGGGTTACAAGGCGAGAAAGAGGGAGAGGAAGAGGGCGAGGGCGTGCAGCTAGGGCCAGGCGAGAGAGGGGTGCCAGCGGGGTGACTAGAGCAGAGGAGGAAAGGCTTGAAGATCTCCAAAGGAGCCGGAGAGAAGTAACCGAGGTATATATCCAGAAAATTATTTTACAGAAAATTACTGAATCATTACCTGTGAAACGTCAGGGACGTTGCTGAATAAGTATACTGGAGAGTAACAGCATCATCACGCAGCATGTTATTGTTTTAGACAGGTCTGAGCATCCTGTACTCCAAAAACTGCAGTGATATTAGACAATTGTGTGTGTAGGATTAATTACCTGTCCAAGAGAAAACTGGCAACTTGAGCGTCACTTTGAAAACCTTTTTCCTCCATCAGTGACTTCCATCGTGGAAATGCCGTGCCAATGTTGATCCGTGTTTTTTGCCGTTTCTTGTCACGCTTGAGTTTATTCTCGTCGTGTTTCCGCTTCTTAGATGACGGGGGTTCGGTGTCCGCCGCTTTTCGTTGTGATACAGAGTAGGCATGATCCTCCATTCGTCTGATGTTTGGCCACACAGTGCCAAACAGTTTGCCAAGTCACTCACGCCTGCCGCCTTGTTCACCTTTGTTGTTACTGAAGCGCCGTATACCTGCTTCTTCTTCTTCTTTGGTTTCAGGCAGACTAAACGCTTCTCAGGCATAATACTGCCATCTACTGTTCAGTACCATCTCAGTTCATCTCTCTCAACTTGCCGTAGTTATTTTCGAGCGTAATGGGAGATCTCGCAATCGCTA